AGAGAGAGAGAGAGAGAGCTATCGTCAATTTTATTGGTGCGACTAGATCAAGAAACGAAATATATACTTTTTCCTTTCACAAGTGAAAAATCAATATGACTCGAGAATCAAATCTCCGATATGTCGACACCCATAAAGAAAAAGAAATTTATTTCAAGATGGATACAGCAATCTCCAGTTTTATGAACACAATTGTTGTCGGATGGAGGCAAAAACGCGTCTTTTCCCTTCGTACGAATGAAAACCAGTATGGCCTCGGAATAGACTTCCATTCTTAGATCGGAAACTGAAACGCGTTTTTCCGCGTTGCGCGTTCTCCCCGCGCGTAGGCGAAAACTGGCGTGTGCACAGAGTAGCGTTTTCGGCGTTGGCCGATGAAAAATGTAGGAAATAATTTCTTCGATGGCAGAAGAAGAGAGACGCCGCTGCCAGTTTACGACAGTAACTTGCGATTTTTATGACGGTTCTCCTCTTCTTTCTTTTTTTTTTTTCTTTTTCGACGCGATAACACGGGATGCTTTAAGGCAAGATGGCGTTTCGCGTAACTTTATTACGTTTATTATGAACTCCGCTAACTGCATAATAGTTTCGGTGGAATATAAACACAATTGAAGTACTCTAAAATTGAAAAGCCAATCATGATGCACAACTTTGCCTTACTGCAACAATGACAATCGATCCAATTAAAACTTAAGTACAATTCTAATTTCGAGTTGAAGCGACGTAATTAAAGTTTATACATTATGCCTCGCATTCTCGCTGCCCATAACGTGCAGCATGCAAATTGCACGTTTGCTATTACACTCTATTATTATAAATACCTGTTTCCCAACGCACCAATTTGCACCGTGAATTCGATTCGTCGGACGTAACTTTCTTCCGCAACCGGCTTTACTACACTGAAACAAGAAGGCATCTTATTTAATATATTTCGTAAATATATCAATATACATGATAAATGATTCGTATAAACATGACGATTCGAGCTTCTAAGCAACTCAGCTCGTTAAAGAATCTTATCTCTCATAAAGCTTACATAATCTTTTAACTCTCTCTTTTTTAAATTCTCTCGTCCACATTCTTCACGTTCATTCGTCCACATTCTTCTCATATATTTCTATACAATGTGTTGTTTTCATTCGACTACTTAAGGATCAGAATCAGATGAATGCATTCTGAATGACTGCAAACGCTTCATTCCACTAAAGCGCTCCGCTTCATAATGCTGCTGCCTATTCGATACTAACGAGGCGTAAGCTGCCGAATGAACTAGTTCCATTGAGATACTTGAAAAGTGATAATACATCCGGAATTGACCGAGTTATTCGCTTGCCAGCGACCGTGCCTTAGTATATGTAAGAAGCATTTGTATTCAAAATTTATCAAGAAATGTTTGAGGATCATAAATTTTACATCATTATTAATCATTATCAATTTACTTATATATTATTTATTTATTAACCAATATTATTTTTAATTAAATTTTTGGTGGGCGCAAGCTCAATTCTTTTCTCTTTTAAATGTTTGAAGATCACAAATTTTACGCATCATTAATTTATTATATTATTTATTTATTAACCAATATTATTTTTTAATTAAACGTTTGGTAGGAGCGGGATTAATTCCTTTCTCTTTCAAACACAGTTTTAATTACAATTTGGATTACATAATGGATTACGCAAATGTTCTATGCCAAAGTGCGTTAGAACGGTAACATTGAAGCACCGGCATATATATTCCGCAAAGACGTCGTTTTCGACGCCCGACGTAAGCGTCACAATCGCGAGAACACATTTAGTTTAAGATAGCTGGCTAATCGGTAAATAGGTAAATCCGCTAATACCTATGTACTCCGAAACGAAGCCGGGAACCATATCGGTTGGAACTTAAGCTACTCCGCTACGCCGAGTTATTATCACTCGGAGATACGAGATGCCTGGATTGGCTAACAGAGCAACGATAAGGGAGCGTTTGCATTTCGCGGGCGTACCACGTTGCATAATTACCCGCGAGAGTAATCGCAATCAACGCCTCTCTCGTACACGCTCGCCCCTACAACACACCGCGCGATCGGCATTACAGTTCAACAACTTGACTCCCACGTCTCTCCATTGTTCTCGGTGTCACCCCTGATGTCACCCTCGCCCCCCCCCCTCCCCTCCCTCCCCCCGGCCGTCTCTCGAAGATATTCGCGGTAGTTTTCTCGGTAGATAGGGATCACGTAATGCGAAATCGCTTGCGTGGACAATGAGATCCCGCACAATCATTACCGGGAGCGCGATTATCGCGCTAAGTAAATTGCCAGGATGAGTATCGGAGGCATCGATCGAAAGTGCGGTCGGTGCCGCATTTGAGTATCCCTCGGCGTCCTACTCCGAGTAGATAGGTCCTAATTAGACGATTGAATGTAACTCGAGAAGCAAAAGCGCTTCTAACGAGCGACGTTGACCGCGATACCGTCGATTGCGGAAACGCGAAACGATCGGCACCGCGCTAACGAGAGGCCGTTTTCGGGAGGCACTCGCGGCTGCCTGAAAACGAAGCCGATCGTCAACCGGATTATTAAGCGAGCGAGATAACGACGTTGCCGACAAGCGAGACGGGAAGACGGATGACGATCACGGAAGCTTTTCAGGTCGCGTCGTCTCGAAGAATAATATTTTACATCATTAAAATTCAGCGTATAAAGGAAATAGGATCATAACGGAATATAAATAAAACGAGCTTAATTAGAATATAAA